AGACTGGACAGCCCAGACAGAATCCCCCAACACACCCAGCCTCTCTTAGATGGCCTTCTTCACCTGGCTAACCACCCCAGCCATGAGACAGCGCCTCTGTGTGGTAGCAACACATGACTTCATCTGAGGATTCTTCCTCTGTGGATTCTTCCTCCTGCTACTGGCTCAGCTGCTTGCTCACATTGGGATGACTCTTTCCTCCATTCTTTGTCTGAACACTCTGCCGACCCCTGACCGTCCTCTCCCTTCGGATGCACCAGACTCCTTATGATGGGCCGTGATTATCTGGAGCCTGGCTCCCGGATGGGTCCTCCTTGCCTCCTTTCTTGTGTGAGACCTCCTCACTCACACAGCATGATCCTTATTCCAAGAGCACCGAACAGCCCCTCACCCCTGGGACCACCAGCCAAGGCGCATTTGCTGTTTCAAACTTAAAGCAGAGAAATGCTGGGGTTTCAAAAAACAGCCATCGCTCCATCATCCTCAGCTTCTCAGACTGTCAGTCTTTTCCATAGAGGATCAAAAACAAATGTGCGTTTTGGGGAGGGAAGGGGGCTATTCATAGAAAATTCCCATCTTAGAGTTTCTTCCCCAGAAACTTAAAAAGAGAGCCATTTCTTTGAAATGGCATATGGTGTGTGTATGTTTTCCCCCTCTGCCGGAAGGACATGATTTAGTTTGGATTTTTTTTTAACTTAAAAAAAGAGAAACCACAATGAAAACAATGTGTGGAAGAATCTTGTTCAATATGTCACTTGAAGGCTCTTTATCTTCATGTTCTTTGGGTGCTGTTGATGGGCTCTGGATGGAGGGATTTCCTGAGTCTCTGGGTTTCCATCAGGGTATGCGAGGACAGTTCCTGCTCATCTGAAAGGGTCCTGAGGCCTCAGATGTGCTGGGGCCAGTCTTTACCCCTCAGTCTACCTGGGTGAAAAGACAATGTGGTTGGAGCGGGGTAATCCTACACATGGGCTGGGTGACTGGCTGGTGAGCCGAGTGAATTTAGAAGGGCCCCTGTGTGGGTGTGATGCACAGAGAGTTATGAAGAGGAAACAGTGCCTGCACCCCGAGTCTTTCTCTCACCTGCTGGGAGTCCTTTGTAAAGCCTCGCGTGTCATGGCTGGGAGCAGTGACCGTCACAGACTGAGATTATACTCAAATTATAATCTGAGATTATAATCTGAGATTATACCAGATTATATTGGTAGGAAGGACATTGGAGCTCGTCTAATCCCCATTGTACAGATGGATAAATGTGAGCCCAGAGAGGGGACGTCATTTTACCAAACTTCCATTGCCTCTTCTTCACAGGGCCAGTCTGGGATTCTTGGCACGTGCTTGCACCTCTGCCCTCTCCACCTGACCCCTTCTGTGACCCTCTGAAAAGTTTCATCAGAGCACAGGACTCCCTGTGCAAGAGCCCCCGAAAACAAATTCATGGTCTTCCCATAGCTACCAGGTCTTCTAAGACTGTTTCTCCTGGCTCCCACCTCCACACCTTGGCTCCAGCCCAGTTAACCTTCCTGTGACTTCACAGGGCTCTTCCCCTGCCAGGTCTTTGTATTTGTTGCACCCCTGCTCTGGATCACCCCCTCCTCCAGGGAGCCCTGACTTTCCTCGCAATTCCTCCAAGTCCCCTTTCTGTTCCCTTCCCCTTTCCTTTTTAGTTGCAGCATCCTCTGACCTTGTTATAGATGTCGTTGCCAGTTTGTTCACCACTGGTATCCTCAAGTAGGGGAAGCTGTACCAAGGTAGTAGTGTGGTGCCTCAACACCTCACTGCTTCCAAGGCCTAGAACAGCGTCTGCTACATAACAAGCCCATGACACGAGGAAATGAATGAGGGAGTACATGAATGAATGGAAAAATAAATGAGTACTCATCATACTCATCCAGTGACTGTTGCCCAAACTTAACCCCGCTGATGTGCATGATTTTGGTGGCTTTTCTGAGAATGGGCAGAGAGGTGTGGATAGCGGGGGTCCCTGGGTTCGATTCCTTGCTCATTGACCTGCTAGTTGAGCATATGCACATCTGTCCATTCTGGAGCCAGAGCAGGGTACAGCTGTGTTGAAGCATGAATGCTCAGGCCAGTAGGACCAGCTGTACACTGGGAGCTGGGCTGTTCTCAGGCAACCATGTAGGTCTTGGAGGGGAGGGGAGCAAGAAAGCACCTAGCACAAAAGGCCTGGTCATTGCATTCCTAGAAACAGACACACACCACTCTGAGCCTCGTGTTTTCCCAAAAAGTGTGAGGTGCTGTCATCAAGCCCCGTGTGGCAGCAGACTTCATCACAGATGAGCACTACCACGCAATTTGTCACACTCAAGCTGCTGGCAGACTGTACATCTCTGCTCACAGCCAGTGTGGGGGGGGGCTGGATCAGATGGCTTTGGGGGATCCCCTTCAATCTTTCCAGGTACAACTTCAAGGAGAAAAGGAGCATATGAAGTTGCTGGGGGATAGCCAGTGTGAAGATCAGGAATTCTGGGGTGAATACAGCCTCCTCCGGTCTCTGTAAAGACCCCAGAGTTGACATTTTCAAAAGTCAGGCCTGCCACTGTGTGTTGGTTAAATACAATACATAAGTAAGGTGGGTGCAGCGGGACCTCACAGATCATACTTGTTCCCAGAGGCCGCCCCTGTGTATTCATCTGGGCTGGGCATCACCTTGGATTCGCCTTCTGGCTCTCCTTGTAGCCTGTGACTTTGGTGCTGAAATCCTCTGTGGTCTCCACTTCCTTATCTGTGAAATGGACCTAATACAACCCACCGTGGAGGTATTGGGGGCTCTTGGATATGTATGGAAATGTTCAAAAATACACAGAAGCAAGCCATTTTTATCTTGCTAATAATACTGCAACCTGATCTGCCTGGTCCATTATGAAAATCCAAAAGGTCCTTTACTTGTATGCAGTATGCCCAATACTGCTTCCTACTGACTCCACTGGGTGGCTGGGTGACCCAGTCTGTGCCAAGTCTGTCAGCCAGCCTCCTGTGGCCCTCACCCCCTGAGGGCTTGTGGTGAGTAGTGAGCAACTAACTTGTCCCAGGTCCCACAGCTAGTAAATGGAATATGCATAATTTGGTCATAGGCTGTGGGGATCCAAATATTCGTAATAGTTGCCATCCTCAGTGGTCACTCTCAGTGCCAATGGGCTCAGTACCAACCCTGCAGAAATGTTCTACCTTCATACCAACCATACTACTAGTTTCTGTGACCCGTTTTCAGATCCAACAAACTCAGAGAGATAAGGAAGCCTACTTAGAGTTATGCAGCAATTTTGCCCTCAGGACTTTGACTCTCAGAGGCCACCTAGTCATGGGTTAAGGAGACAAGGGCAAGGGTAGAGGCTTCAGTAATAACTAGCTTCAGAAGTGAGGGGTGAGTCAGAGGGACCGGGCAACATTCCTACACTGTGGCTCCTGTAAGTCCAAGATCGCTGCAGTCTGGGTTTAGCAAATTGATTTAATCAAGGTGAATGGATTCACTTGCTTTGTACACAACCCCCACGGATGGAGCTAGGATTGTAGAATTATGACAATAAAATTGAATATGTAAAAATTAAGGTTAAAGTTTTAGGAGAAAAGTTTCCTCTTGTTCAGAATGATTTACACTCAATCATGCATCTGTCCACTGACTGACTAATGGGGTTGATGGAGTATTATGCAGTTGTAAAAAAGGAAATGCTGACCAATGCTATGATTACTTAGTGAAATAATACAGTCACCAGAGGACAACTACTGTATGAGTCCACTCACATGAAGCACCTAGAATAATCAGATACATGGAAACAGTAAGTAGAGTGGTGGTGGCCAGCAACTGGGGACAAGAGAATAGAAAGTTATTATTTAATGGTTATAGAGTTGGAGGAAGTGAAGAATGCTAGAGCTGGATGGTGCTAGCAAAACAATGTGAGTGCTATCACACTGAACTGTACACTTAAAAATGGTTAAAATATACATTTTATCATAATTTTTAAGAAAAGGAATTCATAATGCAGTACCAGAATCTGTCTGCACAGAAACAACATTATCTGCCTGCATTTATTACTGTAGACATGGAAGTCAGCTGACCAGTTGTATGCCCAGCAAACTCATTGTATTTCTCTAAAATGCTCAGCAATTCAGACTCAAACCTGATTCCCACTGACCCATACCTTCTGCCTGAGTGAGAGTTGATGGAGAACTCTCCACTTCTGAGCCCTTTTTCCCAGTCTAACTGCTTTTTAAAGAGCCTTGTTTTCCTGAAGCCTATAATTATGTTTGCCTCCAGGGTACCCAAGCACTTTTTTTTTTTTTAATAAGCAAAGAGCATCCTACAATTATGATGATTTGTTGAGGACAGGCCAAGCACAGACAGGGGCTGACTCACCTCTGAAAACGATTGCTCACGTGTTGGTGTTTGTATCTCAGAGGTCCTGCCGGCACACCCAGGGTCACTAATTAATATTAAGAGCTGGAGAGTTAACAGACCCACGTAGGTGTCCGCTGTGTGCCCCTGACAGGCCTGGGCAGGCAGTTCAGTGGGATCTGGCCTTCCTGAAGCTGACCGCAGCTGGGAATGGGCCCTGGCTTCAGAGGTGGTTCTAGGTAAATATTTCCAGCCGGTGTAACGGCTGCGTCCGGGTGCCGACGTAACCTGGGGCTGCTGGAGCCGCAGGCCGCGGAGGCTGGCGGGATGGGCAGAAGCCTGCCGGCTCTGTCAGCCCTGATTTGCGGGCCGGGCCTGTAATCTCCTGGAGTTCAAAGAGTACTTAGTTGCTTGTCTTTGTCAAGAGCACGGTTGGGGATCTTTTATGTGAAAGATGTAGGGTTCTCGGTCTGACTTTGATTATTTATTCATCCTGCTTCGTGGGTGTGTGATAGCGCTGGCATGGAGGAGCCCCCATCTCGACTGCCTTGCTCTGAAATTCATTGAGCTTTAAAGCTCTTTGAAAATGGCTTTGCCAGGGAGGGGCAAACTTTTTGAAGTCCTGTTTCTCTCTCCCCCTCCGCAGTGCCGCAGCAACTTCTGCCACCGTTCCATGCTCCCTTACCGCTTGACATGCGACACCAGGAGGGAAGGTACCATTACGAGCCTCACGCTGTCCATGGCGTGCACGGGTAAGTCCAGCCCTCCGCCCGCTGCCCCAGGCGACATCACCTCGGCCACCTCTCCCGCCTCTGTCTCTTTGTCTTTGGCGTTCCTGATCTGCGTCTTCGTAAACAGACTGTCACCTCTGCTGTCGAGTGCATAGGGGTGCACGGACCCGGGACCCTGTGTGGATGCATGCAGTCAGCTCCCTCCGGGCCTGCTACATCTCTCCTTCCATGGCTGCAGACTGTCTTGGGTTGTCCATAAGCACCCGGAGGCTCTTTACCACCCACCCATTGGGAACTCCTTCCAGGCGAAATGTCCCATACAAGTACAATGACTTTAGTTCATTCTAGCGTACTCCATAGGGCCCCCTTTCACTCTCCCAAGTGTCTCAGTTGGACTATAAATGATAGGGCCATTCTCCTGATAAGGACAGGTTCAAAGTTATCCTTTGGAGATTCTTTTTACCCTCTGCTTTGAGATCCCCTGGTGGAAGGGGTGTCTTTTGTGTGGTCTCACTCATCCTAATCCTACCCATTTTTGTCCCACCTGGGGCCTAGAAGCCCATAGCTGATGTTATTTTTCTTGGTTTTTAAGGGGCCTTTGCTACCCCATCCTTTTTTCTTCCAGAAGAGACCTCTGCTCCATCTCCAATCTCTCTACTGTTCCCTCCTGCCTCAGAGGGAATCTGCTGTGAAGGACCTGCTGATTCCAAGGCTCCTTTGCCACCTCACCTGTCCATGACAATCCTGTCACTTGTCCCAATGCTTCAGGTCCTGCTCCCAGCCGGCCTTGATCATTCCTCCTCCTAGCCACCTCCTACATATTCCTTAAGCCTCAGCTCAGGAGCTACCTCTTCCTGGGGACACTGGGATTACCCACACTGAGTGGGAACCCTCCCCTGGCTCTCCGGCCTACAGCCCCCCAGCAGAATCTCAATTTACCTGTTATTTCCTCAACAACCCTGACAGATAAGGTGCCCACCTCCACTGAGTACAGTGCTTCCCTAGTGCCATCCATCCATGGATGCACGGTCTTGCTGCCTCTCCCACCTCCCATGCAAACTAGGTCAGTAAACCCTTGCTGAGTGCCCCTCACCCCCACCCCATGTCCAAGCACTCTGCCTGACTGGGAGGTAGGTGACTAGGCAGGTATCCCAGTCCTCTGGTGACTCTTACTTCTAGGCACCTGTGCTCCTCTAGCACAGCAGATCTCACATGACTATTCTCTTTCTTAAAATGTCTTTTACTGTGATAGACTATCGGACATATAAAAACAGTTGGAAAAATAAGGCAAAGATTTCCTGTCTAACTCTCACCCAGCTTCTCAAATGTTAACATCTTTCATAACCAAAGACAATTCAGTGCCCTTAACTAGCTTTTCAACCTCATGCAAATTTAATCGGTTGCCAACTAATATCTCTTTTCCTGTTCACGATTCAGCTTTTGCATTTACTGCCCTATCTCCTTAGTCATCTTTAATCGAGGACCCTTGTTCAGTCAATCTTGTCTTTCACAACCTTTGCATTTGGAAAGGACAGGCCAGTTACTGTGCAAAATGTCCTTGATTTGGGTCTGTCTGACACTACCTCACGATTCAATTCAGAACATGCATTGGGGGGTTAATACCACAGAAATGATGTTGTGGCCTTCCCAGAATGTGCCAGGCACAGGGGCACTTCTCAGGGCTGCAGAAGTTAGTTCTGATCACTGGGGTGAGGGGAAATCCACGGGGCTTCTCCATTTTGCACTTGGTCCTTTTGGAATTAATGTGTATTTTGTGGGGCAGTGCTTTGATCATATGTAAATAGCCTGTTTGCCATCATATTTTCACGCACTAACTTCAGCATTCATTGATCGTTCTTACTAGAAACAATCATTGCTAATGTTTGTTAAATGCTAGTTTTCTTTTTCCCTCATTCCTTACACACTGATTAATTAGAATTCTACCACAAGAAAGAGCTGGTCCTTCCTCCCCATGACTTTCTTTCATTGATCATTTGTTTATATCAAATAAGTACATGGATATTTGTGTTTTTCTATGAGTTATACTCTTATTCTTTTTCTAATTGTCCCAGATAAGGGAGTTCTCCCATGTCCATCAGATATGTAGGATATTTTCTTTTTATTTTGGTGTTTGTAGCTGGTTCTCACTTGGCTACACCTAGTTGGTAACTGGACTGTTCCAGTCCTCTGCCCACCTCCTAGGCAGCTTCTGGAAGTTGTATAAATCTGGAGCTAGTAGATCACTGCAAATCATGGGATTGGTGGCATGAGAATTTGTACCAAGGGAGCTGAGTTCCTATTTGGGAGGGGACTGGAATTACCGGTTCAGTGTCATAGGACCTGGTCACAGGCTTCCTGGCCAGGGCTGGCCAGAGAGCTAGACAATGCTGGAAGTGCCCTGGAGGAGACCCACCAGGTTTATACCTTTGTAAGTGACTATTCTGGTTTCACATCTCCCCACATACCTAAGGGCAGCAACAGAAATCTCTGAAAACCCCACCATTGGCAACTGTAATTTCTCATAGTAACAAACCTTCCCAACATACTTCAGGCATCTCATGTCTTAATCCTTTCAGCAAGCCTGAAAGATGGGCATTTTTTATCATCCCCACTTTACAGATGAAGGAACTGAGGCAGCACAGAGGGGTTAATAACTCACCATCAGGGTCACCCACTTGGGTGGAAGAGTTAGAGATGTAGTGATTCACTTGGCCCCCATCCTCACTCTGACCTCCCTTGGGCATACAGACTTCAAGTCTCTTAGATGGGTCCATGTGATTCCTTCTTAAAAGCATATATATCCCTTTAGAGCCCTCTTTGGTGGTGAAGCTAACCACAGCCGCTTCAGCCTGAGTTTGATCCCCAGCCAGGGAGGTGACCCACATGGAGCGGCAGACCTCCCCTGTCTCCCGTTGCTCCCCTCAGCAGTGCACTTCGTCATTCTGCCTGTTCTGCTCCCCACTTTGTCTCTGGTGACTCCCCCCACCGCCCCTGCACCTCTGGCCTGTACCCCAGTTCTGTATACATAAAAAAAAATCTTTTTTTTAAAAAAAAGCATATATATCCCTTTATAAGGGCCCAACCCTTATAAAGGTCAACAGCTCCCAAACCCTGGACCAGCAGCACCAGAGTTCCCAGGGAGCAAATGCAAAGTCCCAGGCCTTACCCAGACCTGCTGAGTCAGAGGCTCAGACCATTTGTGTTTAACATGACCTCCAGGTGATGTACCTGCAGGCTGAGGCCTGGGGTTCTCTGGCTATAGGCAGGGACTTGTCGCTGAATAAGGGTCCTCTAGTGCTGTCCCTCCTGAGCTGCAGGGGCCTGTGGGCCAAACTTTCTCCAGACTTTGCTATCTGCTCTGGCTTACACACAGGTCATTCCCTCTCTGGGTTTGCTTCCTTCCTGCCCTGGGAGGGCAGGTGTAGGCAGAGCACCTGAAGAAGTAGAAAGTGATGATGGAAGGCAGCAGGCGAGGTCTGGCCAGGCCAAGTAAGTGGCCTTTGAGATGGCCTTGCCATTCACTGGCCTGGATGGCTCTTTCACTAGATTTGATCGCTGAAGGGTGGGTACTAGTTTCCTGTAGCTCTGTAACAAATTACCTCCAGCTTAGTGATTTAAAACAATAAAGACTTAGTCTCACACAAAGCTGGAGGCTAGATTTCTGAAGTAAGCCCTATGCACCTAAAATCAAGATTTTGGCAGGACAAGAGCTCCTTCTGGAAGCTCCAGGAAAGCACCCCTTTCCTCAACGTTTTTAGCTTCCAGACACTGCCTGCTTTCCTGGTCCATGCCACTGCCTCTCATCACATGGATTTTTCTCTCCACTCTGTCTGACTTCTTCATCTTCTGCAGTAACTTTCTCCTGCCTCTCCTTGTCTGGATGGCTTTTAGGCCCACCTGGATCATCTAGAATAATCTTCCTGTGCTGAGATCCTCAATCACACCTGCACGTCCATTTTCCCACAGAAAACAGCCAATCTCCTAGGACTAGGATGGGGACATATCCAGGGTCATTATTCAGGGCCTGGTGATGAGTCTGGCATCACCCCTAGGGTAGCGTTTCTAGGGTGCCCCTCGTCCAGGCTCTGCTGTGCAGCCTGAGGGCTATGACATCAGTTCATCTTCCCCACAGCCCCATGTGATGGGGTTAGCCGACATCTCACAAGTGCCAGTGTTGAGACTGGGAGAGGTGAGATGTTTCTACAAGGCCTGTGCACTTGTATCTGCTCAAGGGTTGAAGGGAACAGGCTCCCTGGCACAGGCTCCCCTCCCCAGCCAGGGAGGGCTTGTCCCCTTCAACTCCCCAGTGCGGTGACACAGCACTGTGTTCCCAGACCCCCTTCCTGCTGGGCTGCCATGCTACCACATTATCCTCAGGACAGTTGAACCCTGCCCAGGTCACAGGGGCACACAGTGAGCTCTTTGGGGTTACCCTCTGGCTCTGGAGAGCTTACTCTTGGCCCCCACCCCCAGCGCCCAGGCAGAAAGCAGGACAAAGCCTATGAGAAAAATGGCCCGTGGCTCTGGCTTCTGTGATTAATGTGGTCAGAGCCTGGTGGAGGGCCCGATCCATCAAGCCCCTGCTGGATCCCGCTCCCTCTCACTGGCGCCAAATGTGTTAATTACACAAATGTTGCACAGCAAATGAGGTGCAGTGTCATCTCTTGTCTCCCCAGCCTGAGCCTGTACCTGGTCCTGGCTCCCAGGACACCGGCCCATTGGCTCGCATGGTCTTCATGGCTGCAGTGATTGAGCACCCAGCTGGCTCTGCTCTCAGGATAGCTCCAGGCACTCCACATGGGGTGCTCCACTCATGGTGCTCCCTGGTCTGGCAGAATGCTGCTTTCACCAGCCCGTCCAGGCAACCGGGCATTCAACCCCAGGCTGAATTCATCAGCCGTGGTCCTCATGGTAAAGCATATAGAACAGTTTGGAAACATTCAGTGGATATTAACAGCAGTTGCTATTACTGCTGTTTCCCTGTGCTTATTAGGGAAGGGGGTTCTCAGAGACCTGCGTGG